ACCTGGCCTGCAACAATCTCGACTCTGAATTCCCTGAGCCTCTCCTCAATGCCCTCCATCATACCCTCCTTGATCATCCCAAAAATGACTGAGATGGCATCAAGGATCCCCCTAGTAACCTCAAGTATAATAAGCTCATGCAACCTCTCATCGATGACATCGGTAGTGTCGCTTGATCCACCCCCGGTTCCAGATCCTGATCCTAACCCCCTGCTCCAAATCATGTCACCACCATGCTGAACTGAAATGTCATAAATCATGACGACCAGGTCACTCATAAAGGGGATCTTCCCACACTGGTACTCCTTGGAATTATCAGATCTAACATTGGTTCGAGTACGGGTCGTGTGCTTTTAGTAGTACGGGCCCAATACTACCTTCCACATCTACTTGAACCCTCCTCGATGTTCTACCCAACAACTTCAATTTGTCCCAACATAAATCACATTTCACAGACTACCACACCTCTCAAATCCTAGGTTGTCCTATGATTTTCTCTACTCATATCAATCATATCTGGTTGCCTTTATGCATGCAAATTATACACAGAGAAGGATCAAATAGACTTTCAAATAAAAGATTCTACCCTAGGACCACAACCAAACAAGGAACAGGAAATAAGGCCAAATCAATCATTATGAGGCTATAAGCTCATAACCATATACAATTCTAAAAGCGTACAGATAGCAAGTTCCATATAATTATCAAAGCTAAAACATTAACATAACATGGCTAACACCTTGGGGAACTACTTACTTGGCTCGACTGATCAAGCGCATTGCATTCTCATCTTTTCCTTTCTTTAAAAAGCCTTTTCATTTTACCATTTTTTTTAAAAGAATTTTACCATTCCCTTAGTTTGAGTCCTGACACACCCAAGACTGTGCCCCGATCCCTAAAACTAAGGCTCTGATACCAACTTGTAACAACTCAAATTCTCAAAAGAAAATTTTCATTTTTAGTTAATCAAGCACATTTCCATAAATCATGAAATCCCAACATAATTGTTTTCAAATCCATATTCATTACATCTTTATTTAAAACTATCAGAGTATCCCGCAAAATATCGGTGAGAGAGTGCATGTCACGCCATCTCGCCTTGCCCTTGCCCTTGGGCTCAGAAGTACCTTAAACAAGTCCATAGACTGTAAGCTAAGGCTTAGTGAGTTCTCCAGGGTATACCGCACTACAATCCACATAATAAATATCATATTAGCTATAAAAGCTATCTCTACCACATAACATATATCAGGTTAGCCATAAGGGTATCTCTACCAAATAACATTAGCTATAAAAATTATCTCTACCACATATCCATACATAAGGTTGCCATGGGCTCCCCTACATGGTCTTACACCTAAGTGCCATGGGTTCCCCCATAGTCTTTCCCTGCCGGACAACCATGGGCTCCCCCTCATAGTCTTACATCCAAGTGCCATGGGCTCCCCTATGGTCTTTCATGCAAATTTCACAAAATGACTAGCATACAACTTAGCATAAAGTTAACTATCAAGCTACATATCTCTACTACCACTAGTATACCACATATCATAAATGGGCCGGCCTTGGTTCCTTAGACCCATTGGTATGGTGAGGAGACTCACCTCTCTCGAATGCTGAACTGACTATGCTAGAACTATATATGTCCCACATATTGCTCCAACTTAACTGTGTGTAAGCATCATAAGATAGATTTGTCAAAATCCTAGAATTACCCTCAAGGTCAACCTTGGTTAAAGTCAAAGTCGGTGGTCAAAGTCAACAGTCCATGTTGACCTCAACTCGCGAAGTGCATCTAGTGACTCATCGAGTTCCTACTGAGTCCAAACAACCTGATCATACCCTAGCCAACTCGCCGAGTTGTTTCGTCAACTCGATGAGTTCACTTGATATTCAGGAGGCGGGGAAACCCGATTCGACTCGCCGAGTTCCTAGAGCAACTCGTCGAGTCCCCTTCCATGTTCGCTTTTTGTGATGATTCACTGATTCCAGGGACTCCAGGGACTCCAGGGCTTAGATTTAAAGCCCTAAGGTGTCTAGAAGGATAAAGTTTCCAACTTTACCCTCAAGAATCATTCCAAATGCTCCAAGGCCCTTAACAAAGGTTGGAAAGCTCCAAAGCTTTGCCATATGGTCCAAAACTCTAGGGATCTAAAATCCCTCCTCTCTAAAAAGGTTTCTTGTCCACAAAACATTCCAAAGATGGAGGATTTATGGACATGCATGTACCTAGGTCAAAATTCCCAAAAAGAAGGAAATATGCCCTAAAACCCTTGCATGGTGTCCTTGCTCAACCAAAGGCCAGATCTAACCCACCTTGAGACCATTTTGCTTTTGAGATTCATTAAGTTGCAAACTTTATGAACCCCATGCATGCATTTAACAAGAAAGGTAGGAAATGAAGAGTAAACTCAAGATCTAGCCATATTCTATGATAAAAATCGAGTCTTGAAGACTTACAGTAGTCCACAAGGTGATTAAGATCAATGATGAGTGCTTGGTTTGCTGGATCTTCTCATTATCTCCTTCTTCTTAAGATTCAAAGGTCACTCTAGCTCACAAAATGGAAGATATTGAGGATTAGGGTTAGGATAGACGTTCATAGGGTTTGGAGGCTGATAGGAGGTTAGCCTCAAGGCTCTTAAGGAGATTATATAAGGTGCAAACCCTGAAATTAGGGTTTTATCATTACAGCGCCTACTCGTCGAGTCGGACTTCCGACTCGTCGAGTAGGGTGTTGATCCCACGTCCTTGAAATGCCCTATACTTGACGAGTTGGACTCCCAACTCGCCGAGTCCACACACAAAACCCTAGATTTTAAATAAATTTAGTAATACCTGGAACGGGTGTTACATTATAATTTATATCTTAAAGAAGCAATTAAATATGATTCAATAATAAGAAGTCATAAAAATGTTTGAGAATTTTATCATAATAGTTTCTAACCTCTATCTGGTTTGTGTAAAATTTAAATGATTTTTGGAATATTAGAACTCGAGTTTTATGAATTAAATATGATTTTTTTATACGGTGGGGTTAGCGGTTAGAAGTTAGTGTCACAAAATCATCAACGTTTAGATTAAAACTCGAGACCTCCCATTTAAGAGGCAAACCCTCTACCAAGTGCGTTAGTATCACATTAGCATGAATTTATCATGATTAATAACATATAAATAAACATAATTATCAAACAGTATCCAATAAACAATATCCAAAAATTATTAAACTTTATTTTTGGTTCTAACGGTAGTCATGAGCTTTCACGTAGATTTTCTTAATTCATGGAAAAATATCAAATCTTCTAAGAAAAATTCCCATAATATTTTTATGTTTGTTTTATAGTGTTATGAAATTGGAAAAAAGAAATACTAAAATATCATTAGATATAGGAAAACCCGGTTTTATAACTTACCCATGTTTATTTCAAAGAAAGTCGAAGTAATTACTAAAACTACCGAAACAATATCTAAACTTTTCCAAAATTTATTTCTTTAACTTTCCAGAATATATTGTCGTCTTGTTAAAATGAGAATTTATGGATGTGTATTAAATTTATTTTCATTTTTTACTTTAACTAATCAATAAAAATATAATTAAATATCAAACAGTGCTGAAGTATCCTGAAAAATATTATCACGATCACATCTAACCCAAATTGTGATGTTTGTAAATTTTCAAGTTATTTGGATGAGCGCCTGATTTTCAAATTTTATAATGACTAAAGGCTCAAAAATCAAAATAAATATTAGTGTGCCAATCTAATGAAATTTTATTTGAATTGTCTAGGACTCATAATAGGCCCTTTAAAAGTTGAGTGCTTCTTGACATAGGGAACTATTTTCTTATGATTTTTCACTCTAAAACTTAATAAATTTGTATTAAGTAAAAGAAAATACACTTAAATCTCAAAATTTCAGAAAATCTCTTCATGCCATTCCTAAACTTAGAAAAATCGGACTTAATTATTTGAGGACATTTAGATGCATTTTTGAATAAATGAGTCCATGATATATTATTATTAAATCACATTTTTTTAGCACTTTTGAGGAATCCATGAAAACTAAATCTATGAACTACATATCAATCACATGCAATCTGATCCAAAGGACATGCAGCAAGCTAAAATATGTTCTTGGTAGTTTTAGAAAAGATTTAGATACAAAAGACTCAAAATAAGGAAGGAGCCTGGGTGTAGTTGTATTGAGGTTAATGGAAATGTTTATGAGTTTCTTGTTGGAGATGCTTCTCATCCTGAAATGAATGATATTTATTTCAGTTTGAACACATTGTTCAAACTGTCATTTGTGTTTGAGTAGTTAATTATTTGGTAATTTCAATAATTTCTTGACATGATGAAATCTGTTGTAAGCCGATGGATTGAGATATTAGCAACTTTATCTTTGGCCATTCAAGAAGAGAATCAGGTGTTATTTCAATCAGGAACTCCACTTGAAGAAGAAGATAAAGTTCAAGAAACAAGAGCAATAGTATCATTGTCACCATAATCCTTCATCAATGCAGGATCGTCACATGCTTTCATGTTAATAGATAGTTTTGCATAGTAAATCATTGAATGGGATATTATTTGTGTTGTTTTGATTTAATTACGATCTTCCTAAACAATGTTGATTTTATTTGTAAAAATCAGAGATTGTCAAATTAAATTAGTTCACCTAGTTACATGTTGATTAGCACGCATTTTTTTATAACCTTTTGAGGTTCAAACATAATTCAATATTTCTTTTGGCTTGCCTTTTCATAAATCATACGTACTAAATCACGAACAGATAAATATAACGAACTAATTAAACACATGAAAGGATCATCATTTAGCTTGCCTTTGTAACTCATGCGTGTTGATTAGTGCACAACTACATCTCATAAGCAGTACCAAAAAATAGTTTTACATTCTAAACCATTTAGCAGTATTGCATTAGTTAATCTTTTGTGATCCGGCCCTCACCTTGCTACAGTTAATGTTAAATATTCATCAAGTAAATTATGCTGCAGGGGCATAGTCGTAATCTCCATCATCATCGTCCCCATCTCCTTCTAACCTGGCTGCTGGTGTACAGTAGTAGCCACTGTGATCATTCTTCTCCACGTTAGCATGACTCCTACCCAACCATCCTCTGATTGACTTTGTCACAGACGACATTTCCTTGATGACAGACTATGATGAAATGTTGAGGTTGTGGTTGTGAGTATGAAAGAAACTGAGAAGCCATGCATATTTATGAGCAAGAGAAGTAAACTGGGCATGTTAACTTTCAGATAGGTTTACCCACGAGAATAAGTGTGGAGTTACGATGAAATGGTGTGCCTCACGTATATGGGGGCACCTATTTGTAAAAATTTCAGAGTGACATATCAGAAGAAATGTATGGAGTTTGATAGGTGGCCCACAAGAGAAAAATGTTTGGAGTTTGATGGGCATCTTTTTAATGAGAAGAAATGGCAGAAAAGGATGTTGCACTCGTATTGACAGAATCTATCAAAAAGTTGAAGTGTGGAGTCATTACCAATGAATGTGTATGACACAATATGGTTGACAGGTCATCCAGCCACATAAGACTGTCTGGTGACACATCAGCTGGGTGGATTCTTTGATCATTGCCTTGTCATTCTGCAAAGTTCGGGGAAGTAAATACGAATACGTTACTTTGAAAGCATATATATTTAGTCTTAAAAATCAATATTTTTATAAGTTTTCTTGTAATTTTAGTTTGTTGTGTCCAAAACAATCTGTATTTTATTATAAACAGATCTTCAAAAAGGTGATTGTTATTACAATATCTTTAACCTCTCTTTTCCAGAAGTTTAAAGATAGAATATAAGTATTTTGACTCTTGTGTTATGATTTGCCTCTTGAGACAGGTTACACTTGACCTTTATAATGAAAAGTCACTTTTTAAATAGTTCCACTAAATATGATTTTTAGATCCAACTAGTGTTTGCAATGGGTACGATTTTTTCACCAATATTTTTCTAGCATTATGTATTCTTCTTTTTAAGTTGTACACTATAAAGGGCTGTAGTCAACAGCTGGTCAAAGGGGACTGATATGAAGTATCCATGACCATTTAACATGTGGTAACAAAATGTATTTGTAGTCCATATTTTATTTTCATGTGCTAAGCACCATAGATATTTTCTATGCAATCTATATTTTTGAGTGGCCTAAGTTATATGTACAGTATACGCATGTATCTATGTCTATGTATCACTATCTTTGTATGTGATCATAATATCTTTGATGGTGACATGTGTGGTGACTAATGAAGGAATACTGAATATTTCCTTATAGAAAACCATACACAATTATACATACAACCATTATTCCCGACTGACCACATGGTGCTTCTACTACAGACAATTATTTGTTGAAATCGATCTGGCTTTAGAATTAAGGAATAGCTTAGGACGATCTGTAATCTGGACTAGTCTTAGGGTAATTACGTTCTTAAAAAATTGTCGAGTTTAATTTTAATTTGATCATAATTGTTCTTGACACATGTTAGCAAACATGTGTCTGCAATGTTACACCTGTTGTTCAAGAACTACCGAGTTACAATGATCCGGTGGTAGAAAAGATCTAATAGACCAGTTGAAATTGTCGATTACTAGAAATTTTATGATTCTGGTCTAATAAAACAACTGAGTATAAGAGTAGAATATATACTTTTACACAGTATAACCATTATCGTCTCCTAAGTAGCAGCATTGCACTAGTACTACCAAAATCTATAAAAGCTCTGCAAATAAGGTATTATTAGTGTTGTTTTGATTTGCTTAGGATCCTCCTGAACATTATTGATTTTATTTGTAAAAATCAGAAAATGTCAAATTAACTTCATGCATCAAGGTACATGTTGATTAGTATGCATTAACCCTCTTTTTTTTATAAACTTTTCCTGTTCAAACATAACTGAATATGTCTTTTGGCTTGCCTTAGTAAAACATACAAAGTAAATCATATTGCTTGAAGAGATAAAAATAACGAACTAATTAAACACATGAAACTAGGATCATCATATATCTTGTCTTTATAACTCATACATGTTGATTAGTAAACAACTACATCTCATAAGCAGTAGAAAAAATAGTGTTACATACTAAACCATTTACCTGTATTGCTTCATGCATCAAGGTACATGTTGATTAGTATGCATTAACCCTTTCTTTTATAAACTTTTGAGGTTCAAACATAACTGAATATGTCAGTTGGCTTGCTTTCGTAGAACATATTTAGTAAATCATATTGCTTGAACAGATAAAAATTAATGACGAACAGCATTAAACACATGAAACAAGGATCATCATATGGCTTGTCTTTATAGCTCATACATGTTGAGTAGTAAACAACTACATCTCATAAGCACTAGAAAAATAGTTTTATTTACTAAACCATTTAGCATTTTGCTTTAGTAATACAAAAACCCACAAATTGGTTTGTGGTCCCTCAGTGGCTACTGTTATGCATTTGTCAACAGTAGAGTTAATGTTAAATGTTCGTTAATTAAATCATGCTGCAGGGGCATAGTCGTAATCTCCATCATCATCGTCCCCATCTCCTTCTAACCTGGCTGCTGATGTACAGTAGTAGCCACTATCATTCTTCTCCATGTTAGCATGGCTCCTACCCCACCAACCTCTGCTTGACTTGGTAACAGGCGACATTTCCTTGATGATAGACTAAGAAGAAATGTTGAGGTTGTGGTTGTGAGTATGAAAGAAGCTGAGAAGCCATGCATATTTATGAGCAAGAGAAGTAAACTGGGCATGTTTTCACATAGGTCTACCCACAAGAATAAGTGTGGAGTTCTGATCAAATGCTGTGCCTCGCGTATATATGGGGACCTATTTGTAAAAATTTCAGCAGACATATCAGAAGAAATGTATGGAATTTGATGGGTGGGCCACAAGAAAAAATGTTTGGAGTTTGATGGGCATCTTTTTAATGAGAAGAAATGGCAGAAAAGGATGTTGCACTCGTATTGACAGGAATCTATCAAAAAGTTGAAGTGTGGAGTCGTTACCAATGAATGTGCATGACATAATAAGGTTGACAGGTCATCCAGCCACATAAGACTGTCAGGTGACACATCAGCTGGGTGGAATCTTTGATCATTGCCATGTCATTCAGCAAAGTCGGGGAAGTAAATACGATCACGTTACTTAGAAAGCATATTTAGTCTTAAAGCCAAAACAATCTGTATTTTATTAAACAGATCTTAAAAAAGTTGATTGTTATTATAATATCTTTATCCTCTCTTTTCCAGAAATTTAAAGATAGAATATAAGTAATTTGACTCTTGTGTTATGATTTGCATCTTGAGACCGGTTGTACTTGACCTTTAGAATGAAATGTCACTTTTTAAATAGTTCCACTTGAGATGATTTTAGATCCAACTTTTTTAGCTTTTATGTAACCAGTCATTGTCTAACACAGGACCATTCTCTTGGGGAATAATCTTCATTTTGGATCTAATATTCAAATAGAGGTGGTATTATGATATCTCTTGGCCAATTTATTAATACTCTTATAGAATATACATGTGTTATAAATTAACTGAAGTTGATGTGGTTATAAATTAACTAGAGTTGATGTGGTTCTGGGTTAATGATATTCAAGTATTCAACAATTGTAAATTTTCATTGTTAACTAGTGTTTGCAATGGTTACAATTTTTTCTTCAATATTTTTCTTGCATTATGTATTCTTCTATATAAGTTGTACACTATAAACGACTGTAGTCAACAGCTGGTCAAATTGACTAATATGAAGTATCTATGACCATTTTGAGCATCCATAATGGTGAGTTTAATGAGATAATTGAATGATGTGACAAGTCAATGTGCTGTTCATGGATGAAATTCTACCATTATGAAATGCCACATTGGCATTCAATGGATTTGGAGTTCAATGACCATTTAACTCTTCAATGGAAAAAAAAGTTTATAATTCTTAAATATTTACTATAAATTACATTTTATAATATTCTATTAAATTTTGTAGAGTTCAATGCATTGTGGTTCCACTTGAAATGATTTTAGATCCAACTTTTTTAGCTTTTATTTAGCTAGTCTAACACAGGACCATTCTTTTCGGGAATAATCTTCATTTTGGATCTAATTTTCAAATAGAGGTGGTATTAAGATATCACTTGGCCAATTTATTAATATTCTTATATAATATACATCATGTGTTATAAATTAATTAAGGTTGATCTCGTTTGGGTTAATGGAACTTTTGGTCCTAAAAATGGTGATTTTTGAGCATGGCATGCTATTGACCAAATAAGACGTCCTTTCTGAATTTTTTAAGGGGACTTAAGTCATAAAAATGTGGTATTGGTGCTTAGTTTTCGTCCATGCATGCTCTAGAGGGTCTTAAGGCACCTAGAAGTTGAGATTTTGTGTATTAAGTACTTAATGGATATGCAAAGTCATAAAATTTTAAACTTTACGACTCTTAGTGGTAATTTGGCATTGGATCTAAAAGTTGGATGTGAGAGCTTAAAGCATTAAGCTCTTGTTGAGAAAATGGGAAGCCTGAGTGTACGACCTACGTAATCTGGAGTACATAGCGTGTACGTGGTCAATCCCTCGACTGCGGTCAAAGCTCGAGTACGCCTCGCGTACCTCCGAAGTACGCCCTACGTACGAGCCCTAAGTCGACTCAGATGGGTTGACTCAGTTGACTTGTCGATTTTGACCACTTTTAACCAAGGGTATTTTGGGAAAATGTTATTAGTATAAAATGGGAAATGTTTTGACATTTAGGATTTGGGTTGAGCTGGTTTTCAGAGCCGAGAGCTATTCAGATTGCATTCAGATTGTGAGGTGAGTTTTCCCCACTGGACTTACGGGTAGAAGGCAAAAGGCCAACCAATTGGATTAATATCCTGGTTTTATAGTATGTTGCTATGTTGTAATAAACTATTAGATATGTATCCTGGTATATAGGATGTTCGTATGTGTCTCACCCTGAACCGATGAGACGACATAAACGTCCGGGGCGGGACATCATGTACAATATTATAACAATTAAATAATAGAGATCAAAGCAAACACAACCGTCATAAAAATAATTGATAAAGTTACATGGTTTGTATTACTTTTATAGACATGTTTCGCTGAAATAATGAAGCCTTTGTATCCGATTATCAAATTTGCCGTGGTACAAAAGGGTTAAAGTTTTAAATATTGCATAATAAATCCCTTAAGTATGCTGGGCGCACTTCATGTGTACGCTTAGTGTACCATGCATGGATGATCGCGGAGGGCCAGCATGTACGCCAGGCATACCAAAGTGTACGCGAGGCGTACGTGACAATTGTTTAAACCCTAATTTATGGACATAAGACCTATATAAGCATCCTTATCCCATTTGAGCTTCACCCTAACCAACCTCCTTCACATTCAAACGTCCCTGAAAACCCTAAAATCATTAGAGAGCGTGTTCTTGAGATTTTGAGTGTTTAAACATCATCCTTTTTGTGTGTTAGCCACAAAGAAGAAGAGGAAACAAGCTTAAACAAGGAAGCTTAAGGAGGTAAAAAGCTTTCACCTTGGTTATCATTTCCATTTCTAGAGCTAGGGTTTTCTCCTTGTCCCTTTTTGTGTTCTCGAACCACCTCTTGAGAGTTAGAGCTTAAGAAGAGGAAACAAGCTTAAGTCTTTTGGTCCATTCATAGCATAAAAATGGAGTCTTGATGGGTGTTTTGACCTCATGCATGGATTAAAACTCTGGGAAAGGTCTTAATGGGTTGTTGGGAGCAGAAGGGACATGCAAAGGAATAAAGTTGACAACTTTATGCCTTAGGACGTCTTAATGAGAACAAATCTAAGGTTTGGATGTTAGAACATCGAGTATTAAGCAATTATGGAAAATATGCTTAATCTTTTTGTATGATGGGCGTAACTTAGAGTACGCATCGCGTACGGTTCAGAGACTCAGTATGCGGTGCGTACCAGGGTGGTACGCAAGGCATACACACATCAGATGGACTCAGACTTGTTTTGGGCTTGTAAGCCTTTGGGCCTTAATTACTCATTGGGCCCGATCACGTTTTGAGTTAGTGGGCCAACTTATTCTTTTTTGGGCCATGGTTCATATGGTTGGGATTTATTTGTCCATGAGGCATATTAATAATTTGAACATGGACTTAGGGTCCATTAGCAAAGGAAGACTTTTGGGCCATTGTAAAAAGGATTTAGGTCTTAGGTCCTTTAATTTGGAGTATGTCTGACCTTAACTTGGGTTAATGGTATTATTATTCAGCACGGGTGGTCACAGACTATTAGGAGAGCAACTTTCGGATTGGACAGACATATGTGAGTCTTCTTACCATACCAATGCGTCGAAGGCACCAAGGCCGACCCATTTTGTGATATGTGGTACACATGATGATTGTAGAGATACATGGTATGATAGTTAATTATGCTAAGTGTTATGCTAGCTATATATGTGATACTTGCAGGGAAGACCATGTGGGGGGGGGGAGCCCATAACACGTGGATGTAAGACCATGTAGGGGAGCCAATGGATTTTCAAGTAAAGACCATAAGAGGGGCCCATGACACTTGGATGTAAGACCATGTGGGAAGCCCATGGATTTCCAGCTAAAGACCATGGTGGGAGCCCATGACACTTAGGTGTAAGACCAAGCGGGGGAGCCCATGACATCCTGGAGTAAGACCTTGGGAGGATCCCATAGCATCCTTTTATGTTGTACGCATGGTTTATGTGGTATATGTAGCTTTTATAGCCAATATGTTATGTGTTTATGTGGATTGTGTGTGGGGTATGCTCTGAGGAACTCACTAAGCATTAGCTTACATTTTGTGATTTATTTTAGGTACATCTGAGCCTAAGGGCAAGGGCAAGGCCCGATGGCGCGACATGCACTCTCTCTCAGGCGTTTTATGGGACACTCGAATGATTTGAAATAATATTGTTATTGTTATGAATTTGAAAACAAATGTATTGAGATTTTGTTGCTTATGGTAAATATTTTGACTATTTAAAAAAATGAAAATTTTCTTTTGAAAATTTGTGTCGTTACAAGTTGATATTAGAGCCTTGGTTTGAGGGATTCAGATACACTCTTGGGTGTGCCATGACTCAAACTAACGGAATGGTAAAAAAATTTCAAAAATAGAAGTTTACAACCTTTTTTAGAATGAGAAAAAGAGGAGTGCAATGCATGCGATCGGCTGAGCCAAGTAAGTAGTTCCCCCAGTATGCTAGCCATGTTATCCTGATATGTGAGTTATGATAATCGTATGAATCTTGCTATGTGTATGCTTTCAAAATTGTATATAGTCAGGGTCTTATAGCCTCAAAATGATTGATTTGGCCTTATTTCATGTTCCTTGTCTGGTTGTGGTCTTAGGGTAGAGTTTATTATTCGAAAGTATATTTGATCCTGTTCTGTGTATAATTTGCATGCACACGACAACTTAGTCTGATTGAGTTCTGGTTTGATATGGATGGAGGAAATCTTTGGTTAGCCTAGGATTTGAGCTATGCGGTGGTCTGTGAGTTATGATTTGTTTTGGGATTAAGTAGAGTTATCGGGTAGAGTCTTGGGGAAGGTACAAGTAGGTGTGGAAGGTAGTATTGGATTTGTACTACTGAAAGCACAAGACATGTACCCGAACTAATGTTAGACC